AAATATTTTCCGTGCTTTTCTGAAAAAATTATTAGCATATTTTAAGCTAAAAATCCCAATAATCGAAAGAAAATAATTGATTTCTTTAGAAAATTGGTCTGTTTTGGTGCTTTTCGCTGAAAGTGCACAAATAAAAAGCGAACATTTAAATGAAAACGAAAAAATAGGACAAATTAAATGTAATAGCATTACAAACAAAAAGTACAAACTTATTAAAAGACTTTGTATCTGTGCAACTGCAATAAAAAAGTCTTCTGGAGCCGAAACTCAATTTCTATTGATTCTAATATTATTAATTGAATAACAAGTTAAAGTAATTTTGCATTTTTTGTAATTTTATTGTGCGAGATTCTTCTTTGAATGCCAGTGATGATGTTAATTAAATGATGTTGTGTAAAAAGATAAAAGAAAATTTTAGAATCAAGATATCATAAAAAGCGAATGCTTGTTGTAACTTGATTTCTAAACTTTCCAATATTACTAAATCTGATGGTGGTTTCCAATCTATTAAAATTTTACTTGATTTTGCTTAAGAGTGTATTGCATCCTTTACAAAATTTGAATGTAAACACAGACTCATGGGACCCACTGTTATTTCATTTGCTCGTTTTAAAACTAGATATTTAATCTAGTAAAGATTTGGAAACAATCTTTATACTCCTTCACTGCTTTACCATAACTTTCTCACCATTTCTCATTCTTGGAAAGAACTTTGAGGACTCTCGATTTTATAACTTATGAATTCCCATCAACTTCAAAGCCTTTTTCTAAACAACACACCTCTAAAATTACCTAAAGCTGCAATAATTCTTCTCCTAAAACCAAGAAATCCTTCAGTCATGCTGGAAAGTTTTTTTTGTGCATTTTGTGAGAAGAATCACTTTCTCTCAAAGTGTTTCAAATTTCTTGCTAAAAATAATTTTTTTGCAGATAAACATATCTGTCGCAATTGTTTTGTAATCGGTAACGATGCAAACAATTGCAAATCTTTTCTCCGATGTAAAACATGCAATCTACTACAAATCGAACCGAAAATGGCCGATATATGGTAAATTTTGCAATCTAAATCTTTACTAAAATCCAATTCCGACCCTATACTTAATAATAATGCCATTAATAAACAAATTGAAATTTCTTTCACAAAAATACACAGCTTTAGTTACACATACAAAAGTTTTATATATGAGTATGAATCATTAGGTCACATGACTAAAATAGGGACTTATCCTACTGATATTCGTCCAAATTGTTACATTTAAATTCTAAATACTGTAACTTATAGTAGAACTTCAGCCCCTTTTCTTGTTATTCGCATCTTGCAAGAAATAGCAGACGACCACAAAACAAAAATTCCCAAAAGCTGACCAAGTTATAGTTCAAGACTCTTACGTTGACGACATTATTCCTTGTGCAGACACTTTAGAATCTGCAAACCAATTATTCAAGTATCTATGTGCTCTTTAAGAAAAAGCTGGTTGTAATCTCCGTAAATGGAGAACAAATTCAAAAGATCTTCTTTCACAAATAACAGAAGGACATAGAGAAATTTCTATTACACAAAGCGTTGACCATGACAATATAGTAAAAAAATTGGCACTCAGTGAAATACAGAACCTGTCTCCTTGTCTTTCAAAGTCAATCTCGAAGAAAAGCCATATTTTTCAAAACGAGAAATTCTGTCTGAGTCTGTTAGACTTTATGACCCATTAGGTTGACTAACACCAACAATAGTTATAGCCAAATCTATAATTAAACAGCTTTAAGAACATGATGTAGATTGGGATAAAAAATTCCCCAACTGTTAAAATCTCAATGGGTAAAACCCAAATCTTCATTACCAAAATTTTCGAAATTATCTATTACCAAATTGATTGAATGGCTGCCAAATTGTGAGACTCAACTTTATTGCTTTTGTGACACATCTACTATCTCCTACGCTGCTGTTGTTTAATCACGCGTGACAACCCCTAACCAAATCTAAAGTCTCTCCAATAAAAACCGTATCTATACCTAGGCATGAACTTTGTGCTTCGACTCTTGGCGTAAAATTGACTCAAACAGACAAATATTCCCTTTGTGATTTAAAAGTCCAACATATATATTACTGGAGTGATAGCTCTACTGTACTTACTTGGATTCATAGATCCCCATCTCATTGAAAAGTTTATGTTGCCAATGATGTCTCTGACATTCAACGCTTAAGTAATCCACTACAATTGATGTATGTTCCAACTTCACTAAAGCCGTTAGATGGCGGCGTTACATTAACTATGTCTTTTGTAAGCCGAAAATTGTATCTGACAATAAACTTGTAAGACGCATAATTCATAAATATATATAGAAGCTTCCCATACAATGCCAAAACTGCTTAGCAGATAATGGACGGTTTACCCAACGCTTAACAATTTCTAGACCCGTCAAATATAGTGGCGTCGACTACGCAGGACCCATTTTTCTAAAAACTTCCAATATGTTATCTACTTCTACAACTAAAGGCTACATTTGCGTATTAGTATGCATGGATACAAATGCTTTTCATGCTACGCTTAAGAGTTTTACTAATTAATTTTTTGTTGGTGCATCAAAATAACTAAAAGTCTTGCATAACAAAACAAAAATTCTGTACCCGAAGATCTCATTCATTTCTATTGCTTGCTTCATCACACCTGCTTCACCCAACTTTGGCGGTCTTTGGAAGTAGGTGCAAAATCTGTTGTTGTTATATGTTATTTGAAAAGAATAACAAATAATAGAAACCTGAAATTCAAGGAAAAAACACTTTTATGCCAAATTGAAAGTTGTCACAATTCTAGGCTACTCTGTCCTCTATCGACTGATCCTTCAGACTTTGAAACGCTTACTCAGGCGCATTTTCTAATGGGTGAACCTACAAATTGCTTGCAAGAAGAAACGCTTTCGGATTCTAACATCAATAACCTAACCCGTTTGTATGTCATTGAAAAACTAAAACAACATTTCTGGAAAAGATGGCAGTATGAATATCTGAATCGCCTTCAAGATCATCCATATTGGCTTAAAACTTTAACGGATCCTAAAATTGTAGATTTGTTACTAGTCACTGATGAAAGATGTGTACATATAAAATAGATACTTGGCCGTATTGAAAATACTTATCCAGGATCTGATGGATATATAAGGGTGGTATCTGCTCCACACAAACTTGTTAAACGACCAAGTTCTAAAATCTGTTTACTTCCAGATAATTCACCCATGTTGCTGAACGAAATAGGAATGCAGAATAGAAGTAGACAAATGAGTTGGTACACAACCAACACAATATACATGCTGCTTGATCGTTGCAATGCTTAAGCCTTTATGTAATATAACAAAGGAAAATGATGGGCTTAGGAGAGCGATGACATCAAACATCTATGATGCAAAAATGGAATGTAAATAATTGAAATAATGTAAACATAATTTTTATGCATATTATATACATTTTGGCTTGATGTTTTTGATTTAGTTTATGTTGTCTCGTTCTCTTTTATGTTATTCTTTTCAAATAACATATAACAACAACAGATTTTGCAGGTGTGATGAAGCAAGCAATAGAAATGAATGAGATCTTCGGGTACAGAATTTTTGTTTTGTTATGCAAGACTTTTAGTTATTTTGATGCACCAACAAAAAATTAATTAGTAAAACTCTTAAGCGTAGTGTTGTGCGTTGGTTGAGCAGGCGACAATTTCTTAGAAAAAAATCCTAGTGGCTTCCACTCACCACTAACATACTGTTGTAGGACACCACCCATGGCAAAATCGGAAGCGTCGACACAAACTGATGTTGGTGCATTTTCGCATGGATAGGATAATAATGTTGCGTCTGCCAACTCTTTCTTGCAATTTTCGAAAGCTTGTGTCCGTTCCTCAGTCCACGTTATATCGCTGTTATCGTTCTTCACATTGGCGTTGTAAATGCTATGTAAAATTGCCTGTGACTTTGCAGCACCTGGTAGAAATCGTCTGTAGAAGTTTATCATACCCAGAAAACGACGAAGATCTTTGACAGTGCTGGGTCTCTTATATGCTTGTATTACCTGAACTCTGCTAGGAAGAGGTCTTAACCCTTCTTTTGTTACGAGATACCCAAGAAATTCCAATTCCGCAACTCCAAAAACACTTTTATCGATGTTGATAGTTAAACCATATTGGCGCAGTTTCTCGAATAATCTTCTAAGATGATTTTGATGTTCTTCCGCACTTACTGATGCCACGAGAATGTCGTCTATATAAACGTAAACGAATTCTAAGTCTCTACATACCTCGTGCATAAATCGTTGGAATGTTTGTGCAGCGTTGCACAATCCAAATGCCATCCTAGTAAATTCAAAATTTCCAATCGGTGTTGCTACTGCTGTCTTTTTTATATCTTCTTCTTCCACTGGTATATGGTGGTAAGCTTTAACCAAATCAATTTTGCTAAAAATTGTCTTACCATCCAGCAATGCACCAAAATCATGAATATGTGGAACTGCGTATCGGTCTGGGACGGTGCGAGCATTTAAACCACGGTAGTCACCGCATGGACGCCACTCACCATTGGATTTCTTCACCATATGTAGCGGACTAGCCCAAGTGCTATTTGATGGATGACATATACCAAGACGAATCATTTCCTCGAATTCTTTCTTCACAATTTGTAGTTTTTCAGGTGGAAGACGTCTGGGTTTGCTGAAAACGGGTGGACCTTTCGTAGTTTCGATATGATGCTTAACTGAATGTTTTGCTCTAGATTTGAAATTAATCTTTGTTAAGTCGTTAAATTCTCGCAGCAATGACGTATATTGAGATGATCTCGAAATGCATTTAATAGCGGAATCCTGTACACTTGCTATAGCACCATTACATTTCCAATTGGTGTGGGGGTCTATAAGAGTATTATTCTTAATATCGATAAGTAGTCCATATTTCCCCAAAAAATCTGATCCAATAATAGGTTTTTGTACATCAGCAATTACGTACGTACATAATCGGAGTTTGGTTTGCGGCATACAAAACAAGCTGACTGGGAGGTTGATTTCGCATGGATTGCGACACAGGATATACCGTTAAATCTGCCCCTGTATCTACTAAATACCTGGTTTTCGATTTAATGTCTCGAACAAACAGGCGACATATATCTGGGGTACACTCATCCGTCACCAAAGATGGTGCACCATTCAGTTTTCCGAAGTTGGAGGCTTATAATTGCATGGAGCAAGACATTTTCTGGCTTTCTCCCCAAATTTGAAATGATACCAACAATAAGGTTTTGATTTGCTTCCGGAATTTGACCGTCTATTCCTTGATGATGATGACTTGCTACGGCTTCTTGACTTCCTGAAGGAATTTATCTGCGTGCAGAGCGTTTGCAATTTCTTCTCAATTTCCTCTAAACGAGTGCTCGATGGAGAAAAGCTGCACACATCCGATTCACTGCTATCCGCAATCTTATCGGCCATCGTTGATAATTTGTCAAGACTATCTTCACTAACTGACAATATCGCCTTCATTTGTGAAGGAAGACGTTGCATCCACAACTGCTTCAAAATGTCGTTTGAAACCTTACCTTGAGACAAAGACCGCATTTCGGATAATAACTCTGAAGGCTTCTTGTCTCCAAGTTCAACGTTAGTCAAAAGCTTCTTGAGACGCTTCTCCTCTGAATCCGAAAAACTGCTAATAAGTTTTTCCTTAAGCGTGTCGTACATGTTTTCCGCAGGAGGATCGACGATGATGTTTGATACCTTCTCCAAAATACTGCTTTCAATAGATGCGACAATGGTATGGAATTTTGTGGAATCTTGCGTAATACCAGCCATAATGAATTGCGATTCCATTTGTTTAAACCAAAGCAGCGGGTCTGAACGCCAAAATGGTGGAGCTTTCACAGCTACTCGCGAAACTTCCATTGATGGTCCAGAATTTGTAGCGGTGGTTGCCATTAGTAGGTCTGATTTCCGTTCAATTGGCTGTTCTTATTTTTTGTCCGGGGTCACCAATTTGTTGTGCGTTGGTATGAATAAAACCACAACAATTTAATTTTTTTTTAAAAATTAATGTTTAATTTCCAAAAGACAAAATAGAACTCTCCAGAAAATGTAAAAATTATTTTGTTGTCACCCAATACAAAAACTGAAAGTCAAGGCTAACTTGACGAAAAAAGAAAAATACAAAATCAAAGATGACTTGATCACATAAAAATAATATTTTTAAAGTAAATTATTATTGAGTACTTTCCGGCCGCCACAGTAGCATGAAAAGCATTTGTATCCATGCATACTAATACGCACATGTAGCCTTTAGTTGTAGAAGTAGATAACATATTGGAAGTTTTTAGAAAAATGGGTCCTGCGTAGTCGACGCCACTATATTTGACGGGTCTAGAAATTGTTAAGCGTTTGGTAAACCGTCCATTATCTGCTAAGCAGTTTTGGCATTGTATGGGAAGCTTCTATATATATTTATGAATTATGGGTCTTACAAGTTTATTGTCAGATACAATTTTCGGCTTACAAAAGACATAGTTAATGTAACGCCGCCATCTAACGGCTTTAGTGAAGTTGGAACATACATCAATTGTAGTGGATTACTTAAGCGTTGAATGTCAGAGACATCATTGGCAACATAAACTTTTCAATGAGATGGGGATCTATGAATCCAAGTAAGTACAGTAGAGCTATCACTCCAGTAATATATATGTTGGACTTTTAAATCACAAAGGGAATATTTGTCTGTTTGAGTCAATTTTACGCCAAGAGTCGAAGCACAAAGTTCATGCCTAGGTATAGATACGGTTTTTATTGGAGAGACTTTAGATTTGGTTAGGGGTTGTCACGCGTGATTAAACAACAGCAGCGTAGGAGATAGTAGATGTGTCACAAAAGCAATAAAGTTGAGTCTCACAATTTGGCAGCCATTCAATCAATTTGGTAATAGATAATTTCGAAAATTTTGGTAATGAAGATTTGGGTTTTACCCATTGAGATTTTAACAGTTGGGGAATTTTTTATCCCAATCTACATCATGTTCTTAAAGCTGTTTAATTATAGATTTGGGTATAACTATTGTTGGTGTTAGTCAACCTAATGGGTCATAAAGTCTAACAGACTCAGACAGAATTTCTCGTTTTGAAAAATATGGCTTTTCTTCGAGATTGACTTTGAAAGACAAGGAGACAGGTTCTGTATTTCACTGAGTGCCAATTTTTTTACTATATTGTCATGGTCAACGCTTTGTGTAATAGAAATTTCTCTATGTCCTTCTGTTATTTGTGAAAGAAGATCTTTTGAATTTGTTCTCCATTTACGGAGATTACAACCAGCTTTTTCTTAAAGAGCACATAGATACTTGAATAATTGGTTTGCAGATTCTAAAGTGTCTGCACAAGGAATAATGTCGTCAACGTAAGAGTCTTGAACTATAACTTGGTCAGCTTTTGGGAATTTTTGTTTTGTGGTCGTCTGCTATTTCTTGCAAGATGCGAATAACAAAAAAAGGGGCTGAAGTTCTACTATAAGTTACAGTATTTAGAATTTAAATGTAACAATTTGGACGAATATCAGTAGGATAAGTCCCTATTTTAGTCATGTGACCTAATGATTCATACTCATATATAAAACTTTTGTATGTGTAACTAAAGCTGTGTATTTTTGTGAAAGAAATTTCAATTTGTTTATTAATGGCATTATTATTAAGTATAGGGTCGGAATTGGATTTTAGTAAAGATTTAAATTGCAAAATTTACCATATATCGGCCATTTTCGGTTCGATTTGTAGTAGATTGCATGTTTTACATCGGAGAAAAGATTTGCAATTGTTTGCATCGTTACCGATTACAAAACAATTGCGACAGATATTTTTATCTGCAAAAAAAAATATTTTTAGCAAGAAATTTGAAACACTTTGAGAGAAAGTGATTCTTCTCACAAAATGCACAAAAAAAACTTTCCAGCATGACTGAAGGATTTCTTGGTTTTAGGAGAAGAATTATTGCAGCTTTAGGTAATTGTAGAGGTGTGTTGTTTAGAAAAAGGCTTTGAAGTTGATGGGAATTCATAAGTTATAAAATCGAGAGTCCTAAAAGTTCTTTCCAAGAATGAGAAACGTTGAGAAAGTTATGGTAAAGCAGTGAAGGAGTATAAAGATTGTTTCCAAATCTTTACTAGATTAAATATCTAGTTTTAAAACGAGCAAATGAAATAACAGTGGGTCCCATTAGTCAGTGTTTACATTCAAATTTGACGGGTCTAGAAATTGTTAAGCGTTTGGTAAACCGTCCATTATCTGCTAAGCAGTTTTGGCATTGTATGGGAAGCTTCTATATATATTTATGAATTATGGGTCTTACAAGTTTATTGTCAGATACAATTTTCGGCTTACAAAAGACATAGTTAATGTAACGCCGCCATCTAACGGCTTTAGTGAAGTTGGAACATACATCAATTGTAGTGGATTACTTAAGCGTTGAATGTCAGAGACATCATTGGCAACATAAACTTTTCAATGAGATGGGGATCTATGAATCCAAGTAAGTACAGTAGAGCTATCACTCCAGTAATATATATGTTGGACTTTTAAATCACAAAGGGAATATTTGTCTGTTTGAGTCAATTTTACGCCAAGAGTCGAAGCACAAAGTTCATGCCTAGGTATAGATACGGTTTTTATTGGAGAGACTTTAGATTTGGTTAGGGGTTGTCACGCGTGATTAAACAACAGCAGCGTAGGAGATAGTAGATGTGTCACAAAAGCAATAAAGTTGAGTCTCACAATTTGGCAGCCATTCAATCAATTTGGTAATAGATAATTTCGAAAATTTTGGTAATGAAGATTTGGGTTTTACCCATTGAGATTTTAACAGTTGGGGAATTTTTTATCCCAATCTACATCATGTTCTTAAAGCTGTTTAATTATAGATTTGGGTATAACTATTGTTGGTGTTAGTCAACCTAATGGGTCATAAAGTCTAACAGACTCAGACAGAATTTCTCGTTTTGAAAAATATGGCTTTTCTTCGAGATTGACTTTGAAAGACAAGGAGACAGGTTCTGTATTTCACTGAGTGCCAATTTTTTTACTATATTGTCATGGTCAACGCTTTGTGTAATAGAAATTTCTCTATGTCCTTCTGTTATTTGTGAAAGAAGATCTTTTGAATTTGTTCTCCATTTACGGAGATTACAACCAGCTTTTTCTTAAAGAGCACATAGATACTTGAATAATTGGTTTGCAGATTCTAAAGTGTCTGCACAAGGAATAATGTCGTCAACGTAAGAGTCTTGAACTATAACTTGGTCAGCTTTTGGGAATTTTTGTTTTGTGGTCGTCTGCTATTTCTTGCAAGATGCGAATAACAAAAAAAGGGGCTGAAGTTCTACTATAAGTTACAGTATTTAGAATTTAAATGTAACAATTTGGACGAATATCAGTAGGATAAGTCCCTATTTTAGTCATGTGACCTAATGATTCATACTCATATATAAAACTTTTGTATGTGTAACTAAAGCTGTGTATTTTTGTGAAAGAAATTTCAATTTGTTTATTAATGGCATTATTATTAAGTATAGGGTCGGAATTGGATTTTAGTAAAGATTTAAATTGCAAAATTTACCATATATCGGCCATTTTCGGTTCGATTTGTAGTAGATTGCATGTTTTACATCGGAGAAAAGATTTGCAATTGTTTGCATCGTTACCGATTACAAAACAATTGCGACAGATATTTTTATCTGCAAAAAAAAATATTTTTAGCAAGAAATTTGAAACACTTTGAGAGAAAGTGATTCTTCTCACAAAATGCACAAAAAAAACTTTCCAGCATGACTGAAGGATTTCTTGGTTTTAGGAGAAGAATTATTGCAGCTTTAGGTAATTTTAGAGGTGTGTTGTTTAGAAAAAGGCTTTGAAGTTGATGGGAATTCATAAGTTATAAAATCGAGAGTCCTAAAAGTTCTTTCCAAGAATGAGAAACGTTGAGAAAGTTATGGTAAAGCAGTGAAGGAGTATAAAGATTGTTTCCAAATATTTACTAGATTAAATATCTAGTTTTAAAACGAGCAAATGAAATAACAGTGGGTCCCATGAGTCAGTGTTTACATTCAAATTTTGTAAAGGATGCAATACACTCTTGAGCAAAATCAAGTAAAATTTTAATAGATTGGAAACCACCATCAGATTTAGTAATATTGGAAAGTTTAGAAATCAAGTTACAACAAGCATTCGCTTTTTATGATATCTTGATTCTAAAATTTTCTTTTATCTTTTTACACAACATCATTTAATTAACATCATCACTGGCATTCAAAGAAGAATCTCGCACAATAAAATTACAAAAAATACAAAATTACTTTAACTTGTTATTCAATTAATAATATTAGAATCAATAGAAATTGAGTTTCGGCTCCAGAAGACTTTTTTATTGCAGTTGCACAGATAAAAAGTCTTTTAATAAGTTTGTACTTTTTGTTTGTAATGCTATTACATTTAATTTGTCCTATTTTTTCGTTTTCATTTAAATGTTTGCTTTTTATTTGTGCACTTTCAGCGAAAAACACCAAAACAGACCAATTTTCTGAAGAAATCAATTATTTTCTTTCGATTATTGGGATTTTTAACTTAAAATATACTAATAATTTTTTCAGAAAAGCACGGAAAATATTTGAACCAGTGAGAATTTTCGGGTCTCGGCAACAATAAAATGTTGAGTTTTTTCCAACTGTTTAATAAAATAAAGTAAAAAGAAACCAAAGGCATTTTCTTTTCTTTCAAACAGGGGTTCCACGGAATTTATTTTATCAAAGGTCTTAAAAGGTTACAATAGAGTCTATTTAGCAGAAGTTACTTAGCTGTTGAACGCTCGGCTATCCAATTAAAAGATAGTGAGACAACTTCAACTACTTTCTTTGGTAGCCAAAAAAACATCAAACCAAATTGTGCATAATTTGCATAAAACATATGTTTGCTTTACTGTAATTATATACATACCATTCTTGCACAATACTTGTCTGTTGTCATCGATTACTTAACCCAATCATGCTAATTCTTATTTATTATACATATTC